TCTTATTAATCATATATATTATCATGATCATTATCATTATAATTCATTACATCTTATATATTATGCATATATATATCATCATATCAATATCATTATCATGTTTCATTATCATTATCATCATTGATTATCATTATTATCATTATCATTATCATTTCAACTATCATCATCCATCATATATCTATCATTCATCACATTATCATTACTTATATGCATTATCATATCATCATTGATATGCAATGATCATTATCATTATCATCTTCATATCATGCACATCATTACATCATTATCATCATATTATCTATAACATTCTTATCATATGATCTTACATCAATTATCATTTATCATTATCAGTATTATCATCTTCACCATCATAATCGAGCAGTTTCATCATGTATCTACAACATGCCATCGGCCATATCATTATCATCATTATCAGTGACCATCCGTCACCCATCATCATGTATCATCATTATCATCATCCTACATCAAATTGTCATGATATGCATTATGATTGATATATATGCAAACTAACAAGAACAACCAGCAAAAAATCACCCCTGACCCCACACCTCCCCCCCCTGACATCTCCCCCAACCCCTCCCCTAGCACCCGCCCAATCGCACATACCACCACACCCCGGTGTCAACTCTGTGTTCATATGTAATCCAGCCCTGTGACCACACCATCCTCAGCATCCCGCAAGCTATGCATTGAACCGTGATCCAGCATAGTATGGTGTGGTGTGCCTCGGAAATAAACATCTAGATAAGATAAGATAAGTTTCGTTCGGATATGTAACCCCAGGGTTAGCCACCCAGGATAACCCAAGAAAGCAGTGCGCATCGGACTGCTACTATTTCCTTGGGTCCAACTTGTCCCCCAGATCGCCCACACAGTCGCTAACACCCAGGTACCTATTTGCTGCTAGGTGAACAGGATCAACAGGTGTAAGGAAATCTGTCGAAATGTGTTCACCCGCCGTGATCGAACCGGGCCCTCCGTGTGTGAATCGGAGTTTAGCCACAGCCACCAGGCCACTCCCTGTTTGGTATATAGCCTCGTTCGGGTTACAATACTATTATATCGTGCTTGTGGAGGCTAGTACACAGACGGCGATATAATGTATACACTGCTTGTGGATGCTAGACCCGACTGCAGATAATGTTAATATGCTTGTGGAGCTAGTACACCAGACGGCGAGTAAATGTATATACTGCTTGGGAGGCTAGTACACCAGACGCGAGTAAATGTATAAACTGCTTGTGTGAGGCTAGTATCACCAGACGCGATGTAATGTATATACTGCATGTGGAGGCTATACACCAGACGCGATATAATGTAATACCCTGCTTGGGAGGCTAGTACACCAGACGGCGAGATCATGTATAAACTGCTTGTGGAGGCTAGAAACATCACTGCAGATATAATGATAGATACTGTCTTTGGAGCTAGTAACACCAGACGGGCGAGTATTAATGTATAAATGCTTGTAGGAGCTAGTACAACCAACGCGAGTAAAGTATATACTGCTTGTGAGGCTAGAACCCAGACGGCGAGTATAATGTAATACTGCTTGAGATGTCTATACACCAGACGGCGAGTATAATGTTATACTGCTTGTGGAGGCTATACACCAGACGGCAGTATATGTAATACTGCTTGTGAGCTAGTACACAGACGGCGAGTATAATGTATATACTGCTTGTGGAGGCTAGTACACCAGACGGCGATATAATGTATAACTGCTTTGTGGAGGCTAGTACACCAGACGACGAGTATAATGTATATACTGCTTGTGGAGGCTAGTACACCATACGGCGAGTATAATGTATATACTGCTTGTGGAGGCTAGTACACCAGACGGCGAGTATAATGTATATACTGCTTGTGGAGGCTAGTACACCAGACGGCGAGTATAATGTATATACTGCTTGTGGAGGCTAGTACACCAGACGGCGAGTATAATGTATATACTGCTTGTGGAGGCTAGTACACCAGACGACGAGTATAATGTATATACTGCTTGTGGAGGCTAGTACACCAGACGGCGAGTATAATGTATATACTGCTTGTGGAGGCTAGTACACCAGACGGCGAGTATAATGAATATCCCGGGCTTGGGAGGCTAGTACACCAGAGGGCGAGTATAATGTATATACTGTTTTGTGGAGCTAGTACACCAGACGGCGAGTAAATGTATATACTGCTTGTGGAGGCTAGTACACCAGACGGCGAGTATAAGTATTATACTGCTTGTGAGGCAAGTACACCAACCCGAGTATAATGTATATACTGCTTGTGAGGCTAGTACACCAACGGCGATATAATGTTATATACTGCTTGTGGAGGCTAGTACACCAGACGGCGAGTATAATGTATATACTGCTTGTGGAGGCTAGTACACCAGACGGCGAGTATAATGTATATACTGCTTGTGGAGGCCTAGTCACACCAGACGGGAGTAAAAATGTATATACTGCTTGTGGAGGCTAGTACACCAGACGGCGAGTATAATGTATATACTGCTTGTGGAGGCAAAGTAACACCAGACGGGCGAGTATATGTATATACTGCTTGTGGGGCTAGTACACCAGACGGCGGGATATAATGTATAACTGCTTGGGGGG